TCCCCCCCCTCGGCCATGACATCGACAGCCGGCAACCGATGCCGCGGTGTATGGAACTTCCGAAGTGGTCATTCTGGGCTCGACGCTTTTCACCAGCCAGCGACTTTTCGAGACGGCGGTGGACATCGACTGCGATGGGCGGCGGGATGTGGCGGCGCACTCGCGGTACGGCATGACTTTCCTCCCGTCGTCATCGCCGTTTACTCGCCAGTATCCCTCGACGGCTGGCGTGCCAGTGGACGGCGTGGCCCAGTTTGAGCCGGCGGATGAGGGCATGAAGCTGAGCGGATGCATAGCGGCGGAGATGGGCCCGGCGGGCATGCAGGCGGATACGTGGGCAACGCCGGTGTATGTGTCTGGAGGCTCGCAAGCAGCGCTGTCTTCGTCGGGGGTGTACGACGCGTGGGCTGGAGACTTGAACGGCGATGGAGTACCCGAGTTTGTCACGGCCGAGGATGTGGGGCTGAAGGCCATGGTGGGAAGTATGACGACCCGTTGGCCAAAGTACACCGATGCTATCACCATGGCCAGCGGGTATAGCACGGTGAGGGGCGTGCAGCAGCAGTTTGACTTTGCCGACATGGACAACGATGGCGACATTGATCTGGTGTGGTGGTCGCGGACGTCCCACACTGACGAGACAAGGTACCATCGCTCGCCGCGGTGGTTCGCGAACCACGGTAACGGTACCTTTGACTCACCGGGCACGACCATCTTTTCGTTCTCGGTCGGCTCGTACGTTGCTCTCCTCGCGCTCGGCGATGTCAACGGCGACAACTTCCCGGACGTGGCGTGGCACACGTACCAGGACACCACCCACATCGTGCACACCATCGGTCCGGGCGTGTTTTCATCGACGGTGGTGACGCTCACGCCCGACTGGGAGAACTGCCATTCTCTCAAGCTCTTTGATGTCGATGGTGATGGGGACATTGACGTTGTTCGCAATGCAAATGTTGAGGGCAAGCTCTTTGCGTACCTCAACGTGGCCGGACCGGGCGCTGACTTTGTGTTTGGCTCGACGATGACGATCATGGACCGCAACGACGCGCGAGGTTTCGACGTTGGTGACATCGACAACGACGGCGACCTCGATGTGGTGGCGTCGTCTTACACTGACGACGTGCTCATCATTCTACGCGGCGACGGGGCGGGCGGCTACAGCATGGAGGATACGCTGCGTTTGGATGGGTTGTATTCAGTTGAATTAGCAGATGTCAACAACGACACATACCTCGATGTAGTGGGCAAGCGCTACGGATCGAACATGTTTATGGCGCTGTACAATAGCGACGACGACACCTATGACGCGCTGATCTCGTTCTCAGGGATGGCCATCTTTCCGTCCGGGTGGAATCTGGTGGATATGGATGGCGACGGGATGTTGGACTTGGTCGGCTTCTCACTGTCGCTCACCGGCTCGACCGAGGGCGGCACTCTCTTCTACTACCGCAACATGTACCCCGATGTCGCAAGCGTGTTTGACGACAACCGGCCGATCCCTCTCCTTGGCGGCGTCAAGGGTTTTGGGGGTCCGCTGGTGGCGGATTTCAACGGTGATGGTGCGCCTGACTACCTTGGCATTCACGCCAACATGCACCTTTTTGATCTTGCTATTTACCTTGCGGCCGGGCCCGGGACGAGTGCCGGTGGCGCTGGCAAGCTTGCTTTCAATGGTGGGCAGCAGACGCTCGGGTTTGTCTTGGATGAAGTGATCGAGATGAATGTTGACGACTATGACGGTGACGGCGACTACGACTTTGTGTACGCAACATACTCGTCGTTCAGCCGGTCGACGGTCGAGTACCTCTCTAACGCGTACGGCGGGATCGCGGGCTCGCCGCTGGCATTTTCAGCTGCGGTTACGCTTGGCGAGTCCAAGAACTCGCGCGAGGTGGCGGTGGAGTTGATTGTGAATGACGCCGACGGCGATGGGAACGCCCGCGAGGTGGTGGTCGGCTGGCGGTCGTTGTCGTCGTTTGGCTCGAACAGCTACGGATACGTCACGCTGTACGAGGTCGACGACTGGGCGAGCGGCAGTCCGAGTGTCAACACCACCATGATTGCCGACGACATGGACTTGCTTGCGGCGGTTGTGGTGGTGGACATGGACCTTGACGGAAGCCTGGACCTTGTTGTGGCGGAGCGATGGAATCTGTATGCGCTGCTGAGCGGCGGCGGGGCGCTTCGAGAGTTGGCTACTAGCGGTCAGCGGCTGTTCTTGGGCGAGATCCAGACCTCGCGGTCCCAGTACGTGCTTGACCTCGCGGTGGCGTCGCTCAATCCGGGCGAGGACACCCACCTCGACATTGTCGGGCTGGTGAGCTCGAGCGAGCCAGTGGTGATGATGGGCTTGCCGGGCAACTCTAGCGCGCGAGTGCGGGTCAAGGATCATGTGCGCATGCCGTCTGTTGTCAATGGAGCCCGCGGCCTGGTTCTGACCGACTACGACAGCGACAGCTTTGTCGACGTTGTCTTTGCCACCATCGATGGTTTTAAGTGGCAGCCGAACCTCGGGTACCCGGCAGCGACCAAGGGCGCATTCCAGGTGACGTCGGCGAGTTATGGCATCCCCACCGGATGTGTTGCCGACTTTAACCGCGACTCGCGTCTGGACTTGGTGTACTACCGCAGCGACGATTCGGTCTTGGGCAAGCTTCACGTCCATACCAATGTGCCTGACTTTACCGGGCGCGGCGAAGTCGACTTTGTCGGCCGTATTCACCGGCTGGTGGCTGCTGACGTGGACATGGACGGGCTTGTGGACCTGCTGTTTCTCATGGCTAGCGGAGATGTGATCGGGTGGATGCCCAACTTGGGCGTGTTCCCGTTCTTTGACGCGGCGACGGCTGTGCAGGTGATCAACACGACCGATGTGGTGGAGCACCCCGAAGACATGGTGGCAATGCTGCTTGACGGTGACGAGTTTATCGATTTGGTTGTCCTCGGGCGTGACTCGGGAAACCTCGCGATCCTCCGTGGCAATCCTACTCTGCCGAAGCGGTTTGAAGAGCCGGTCGAGCTTGTGAGCTGGTCGACGACTCAGTGCAGCTGGGGCTACCGCCTGGCGCTGGTGGATGTGACGGCTGACGGCATGATGGACATGTTTATGGCGTGCTACACCAGCGGCTTTGTGGTCTGGTTCGAGTCGCTTGGACCGACAAATGACGCACCATGGAGTGTCAAGCCGCTGGAGCGCATTGCGGACACACCGGGGACGTGGAAGATATACGACGTCGAGATGGTCGACCTAACCGGCGATGGCCTCGTGGATTTTGTCTTTTCAATCGACGAGGCCACGACGAGTTCGGTCATGTACGAGATCAACATTGGTAATGCCACTCATCCAGTCTGGGGCCCAACCCACCGTGTTAGTTCGACGGTGGCATGGGGAGTCTTTACCCCACTTGACACTGATGGCCCAAGTCACGGACTGTCCCTTGAGTCTGCCGATTTGGACATGGATGGCCACATCGACATTGTGCTGTCCAGTGCGCTCGACAGGACCGGTGTCTTGCTCAACCAGACACCGCGTCTGCCCGCAAGCGCGTTTAACGACTCGCCAGATGAGGGCGAGCCGCGGCTTGCATCTGCGACGCGTTGGACCGACAATGCGAACTATCGGCTGCGTGGTCAGGCACGCGAGCTTTACGTTGCCGACATTGATGCCGATGGCTTCCCGGACTGGATCGCCGTCTCTGACCACCTCGAGCGAGCGGGCGGTGTACTCGGGGACAAACTCGGTGTGGCAGACGCCGCGGCCGCCTACGACGTTCCGGGTCGAGGTTGAGCGATGCGGGTACACGATGACGTGTGTGGCGGCGTCGGTGACGCGATGGGTCGGGCAGTGCAACGGCGACACGGTCCTGCTTCCGGCCGGGCGGTACACCGGATGCTGGCGCGATGTGCCGTACACGGTGGCCAAGTCTGTGCGACTTCTAGGCGAGGGCCCAGGCGCGGTGCTTGACTGCACGGCCGGCGAGCGGAGCGACGACGACGGTGCGCTGCTGTTCCGTGTGGAAGGGAGCACGACGGTGCTGAAAATGGAGAACATGATTGTGCTCGGAGCGCGGACGAACAAGGCTGTGTTTGGCGGCGGCAGCATCGAAGTTGTGGGCGGACGGCTGGAGCTTGTGTCTGTGACTGTGACCAACTCGACAGCGGTGACGGCGAACCAGCTGTCTGTGGCGTCGCCTGTGATTGGGTTTGGCGGAGCGGTGCTGCTTCGCGACGGCGGGTCACTGGTGGCACGCGACAGCGCGTTCGTGTCGAACACTGCGGAGCATTCTGGCGGAGCGATTGCGGCGGTGGGGCGCGACGTGAGCGTTGTGTTTGAGCGGGTGCGGTGCGTGAACAACCATGCGCTTGTGTCTGGCGGGTGCCTGTTCCTCGAGTCTGCAGACGGGACGTCGTTCCTGGAGATTGTAGAGTCTGTGGTGGAGGACAACGAGGCTGTGGGCCGGTCTGCGGCGATTGCGTATCCGCGGCGCGGCGGCGGCGGAGCTGTGATTGCGCTTGCGGGCAGCTTTAACGTGAGCGTGCAGCGGAGCACGATTTCGCGCAACGTGGCGCTTGAGAACGGCGGCGGGCTGTTCCTGCGGGCGTCCGGCGAGGGCCGAATTTCGGCCGAGTTTGGGACGCTGGGCGGCGGGAACGAGTCTGTGGTGTCGGACAACACGGCGCTCGGCGGGAGCGGCGGTGGGCTGCACGCGGTGTCGCTGGAGAACGGCGAGACGCGGATTGTGCTCGGAAGCGAGGCGATTGTGACGGCGAACTCTGCGAGCGGAAGCGGCGGCGGGATCGCGGCCGAGGCTGAGCGAGCGAGCCGTTTGGCGCGAGCGCGGCGGCGGTGGTGGCGAGCGGCGCAGTTGTGAGCTCGAACGCTGCTGACGTGCACGGCGGAGGCGTGGCCGGAAGTGGGCGTGGGGCGGACGGCCAGCTGACAGGCAGCACGCTGGCGGAGAACCGGGCGCGGCGGATCGGCGGAGCGGTGAGCGCGATCGGCGGCGGGCGGATGGTTGTCGATGGCTGCGTTGTCCGCGACAACGAGGCGGCGTTTGGCGGGGTGGGCGGAGCGACGTCCGGGGTCGACTACCTTGCCGGGACGGCGACGAAGAACGGCCAGGCGATCGAGGCATCGTCGGCGTCGCTGGAGGCGCTGCTGATTGAGGACGAAGTTACGCTTGGCGAAGGAAGTCTGTACAGCTGCGCGGAGCGCGGCGGGGTGTTTGTGCGCTCGAGCGTGCTGATGCGGAACTCTGCGGTGCACGGGAGCGTGGGCTTTGGGTGTGGGTCGCGGGTGAGCGTGGAGGGGACGGGAAGCGGGTTTGAGTTTGACGTGTCCGCCAAGCCGAACGGCAACGACGTGGGCTCTGGACTGTTCTTCAGCTGCCTGCCTGAGGGCGGGCTGTGTGGGATGGCGGGCGATCCGTGCTGTCTGGCCGAGTCGCCTGCGGAGCTGCGCGGGCTGCCGTGGGCGAGCGCGTCGAGCGGGATGCTTGGGGCGTTCAACCAGAGCCTGGACAAGGTGCAGAGCGTGGTCGGATACGGGGCGATGGCGGCGATGCCTGTGGTGTCGCTGCAGTGGATGGCGGGTCTGCCGGAGCTTGTGTCGTCGGGAGCGCCGTTTGGGAGCGGGTACGGAGTGGTGACTGGTCGGGACGCGCTCGGACAAGTGGTTGTTGACCCGCAGCTGATGCTCTCGATGGAGTTTGAGGACGGGGCAAAGGAGGCCGAGTTTGCGTTTGTGGGCTCTGGGCGGCAGCAGCTGATGACCGATGCCGAGCTGTCGTTTGGCGGAGTAGGGATTGCAGCGCGGAGCGGGGCCGAGGTGGGAGTGCCGATTGCGGTGCAGATTGCGGTTGCGCAGTCTGCGATTCCACTGGAGCTTGTGCCGGATGCGATTGTGCGCGACTCTGTGGTTGTGCAGGCGTGCCTGCCGGGGTCTGGAGCGATTATCAGGCCGGGCTCGACTGTGCTCGAGTGCACGCTGTGCGCCGAGGGCACGTTCTCGAATGCGACGTCGCTCGAGCCGTGCAAGATCTGCCCGGCGTCGACGGTGCTGACTGGGCAAGGGGCGACCGAGTGTCTGGCGTGCCCGGAGAACGCGCAGGTCATTCCCGGGTTTGTGCCCGAGCCTGGACTCGGACTCAACTGCTCGTGCATTCCCGGGTTCTGGACGGCGACGGGACAGATCAATGTGGGGTGCGAGGCGTGTCCGGAGGGGGCCAAGTGCGACGGCGGGCAGTCGTTGCCTGTGGCACGGCCTGGGTTTTTTCCGACGGAGGATCCTGGGGTGTTCCTGGAGTGCCCGAACGCCGGGGCGTGCAAGGGCGGGTTCCCGTTCCGGTGCACGGAGGGGTACACCGGACAGCTGTGCGGAGCGTGCGATCGCGGGTACTATGCGCTGAGCGGATCGTGCTACAAGTGTGACAACCGGACGCTGCCTATTTTCGCGGTGGTGTTTGTGCTCGCGGTGTGCTTTGTGGGCCTGCTCGTGTGGCTCAACGCCAAGGAGGAGCTGAGCTACCGGTTTGCGGCTGTGATGATCGGGTTCAACTCGCTGCAGATCAGCGCGATGTACGGGCAGTTTGAGCTGCCGTGGTCGAACTTTGCGTCGCAGTTTTTCAACGTGGTCTCGTTCTTCAACCTCAACTTTGACCTGAGCTCGCCCGAGTGTGCGACGGTGACGGACGATGTGTGGCTGCTCAAGTGGTGGATGACGGTGAGTCTACCGCTGCTGTTTGTTGTACCGTTTGCGATTGTGTATTGCAGCGTGATGGTGAACAAGCACCACCTTGCGCCGCGGCTGGGGCATGTGGTGCTGATTACGGGCGGAGCGCTGCGCGACGCGTGCCGGCGTGCGTACCTGCAGCTGATGGTGCTGCTGTACCTGCCGCTTGCGGCGATGGCGATGAGCTACCTGCAGTGCCGGCGCGACAAGGACGGGCGGTGGGTGCTCGAGGCTGCACCGGCGAAGAGCTGCTACGGGACGTGGTACTGGAACTACTTTGGAGTTGCGGTTGTGTTCTGCGTGGTGTACTGCCTGGGGCTGCCGTCGCTTGTGTTCTACCTGCTGACGCGGGTGCGGAGCGTGGCGGATCCTGTGCTGTTCAGTCTGCGGTACGCGTTCCTTGTGGGGCGGTTCTCGCCGGCCAACTACCGGTTCGAGGTGTGGATTATGGCGCGCAAGGTGAGCGTGGTGATGGCGATGACGTTTTTCCGTGCGCCGATGACCAAGGCGAACGTGGCGCTGTTTGCGCTTGTGGTGTCTATGTGCCAGCTGGTGCGGTTCCTGCCGTACGACACAATGTTCCACAACCACCTCGCGCTCGTGTGTCTCGCGTCGTGCCTGTGCATTCTGTGGGCAGGGACGTTTGCAGAGGCCGAGCTGCGGAACGGGGTAGCCGCAGGTGCGATCTGTATCAACGTGCTCGCGATCGTAGTGGGCAACATCATCGACCTTGTGCTCATCTACCGGCGCGACAAGGAGACTGAGAAGCTGTTTGAGGCCGAAGTGGAGGCCGGCGGGTTTGTGGCCGAAGAGATGTCGCTCGGATCGACGTTTGACGAGGCGATGATGGGTGGCGATGGTGTGGCGATTGGCAACGTGGTGATGAACCCGGTGTCGGCGAATACCGAGCCTAGTAGCAAGCCTGGCGGAACGCGGTTTGCGGAGCGTGCGTGGAACCCGGCGTTCAATCCCGCGTTTGACTCGCTGATGTACGGAAGCTGTGCGGGCGGCATCGAACTGGAGTCGCTTGGGACTCCGCCGCCGCTGAGCAAGGCACCGCTGACGGTGGCGTCTCCGTCTGTGAGCACTGTCGAAGCAACGCCAAATGGCTCGCTCGACTCGCGGGCGTTTGACTCGTTGGCTGGAGGTGGCGGGCAGCTTGTGTCGGGCATGGGCGCGTTTGAGTTTGTGTCTCCGCTGGTGCGTGTGGACGACGACTCGGACAGCGCGTCTGTGAAGGCGCTACGAACGCTGCCGCCGGAGATTGACATGGACGCGCTGATGTCGCAGGGCATGTTGGGCGGTGTGATGCCGTCGCTGGGAGGCTCTGTGATGGGGTCAGTCGACGGCGTTGCAGGCGGCGTTGCTGGTAGTGGCGCAGGCGGAGCGGCTGGCTCGTCGTCGTCGTCATACGTGTCGACGGTTGAGAGCAGCAGCTCTAGCTCGAGTTCTGGCCCGGGGACGAGCTCATCGAGCAGTAGTAGCTCGTAATTGTATGGCTAGGACGCGCAGTTCATTGAAGGAGATGTCGAACTAGATCTTGGGGATGGGGTAGCACGAGTCGGAGAGGATGCCGCAGGTGCCGCAGACCTCGATGGACTTGGGGCCACCCTTGCAGCCAAAGCCGTCGGCCGGGTTGATGTCGAGGCCGCAGGACGGGGTGGCCGGGCGGGCGATGCGGATGTAGCCGTTCTCGCCAAAGGAGGGCGACCAGGAGTTGCGGATGAGCCAGTAGGGACCGTACTTGGGGTCGTTGCCTGCACCCATGAGGACAACAGCATGGTCAATGTCTGGGTTCGTCTGGTTGCACGAGTTGAAGACGCCACCGGCGTAGTCGTGCCAGACGGAGGCGTCGACGGAGACGGCGATGGGGCCGGCGTTGACGAGGGCGTCCATGAGGGCGTGCGCGTCGTTGTTAGGCAGCTGCATGTAGCCGGTAATGGCGGCGGCAGGGGCCTTCATGGCGGAAGAGTTGGAGACCGGCGGGAAGTTCTGGCCAAAGAACGAGCGGTAAGGGTAGGTCCACTCGGAGCCGAGGGTGCCGTTCCAGGCGTCGACCATAAAGTCATAGGCGAGCTGGGCCGTGCCGCCACCGCAGCCGCCGGTTCCGCCGCACTGCTGCGGGTTCGGCGTCTCGAGGACCTGCTGCTGCGAGAGGGCCTGCAGCTTGCCGGTGGCGAGCGCGTAGTGGGACTCGAGGGTCTCGGCGGTAGCGAAGGACCAGCAGGAGCCGCACTGGGGAAAGGAGAAAATATTTTTTGGAGTAGAGTGAGTAAGGGTCGAGGGCGGGCGTGGGGGGGTGCGGGGAGAGGGAAGAGGGGAGAGGGAGGGGGGAGAGGGAAGGGCTTACCTGGCCCTGGTTCTTGACGGCGGTGGTGATGGACGGCGAGTGGTCGCGCCAGTCGATATGAGAGGGGAGGTCGGCGAGCGAGGCCGAGCGCGGGACGTAGGGCGTGGCGTGCTTGCCGGCGTGAGCGTTGCGCTCCGGGCGGAGGCCGCGAAGGGAAGCACGCTCCGAATCGGTGAGGGCGGTGTGGAGGTTGACGCCCATGTACCACGAGGCGTGGCCAGCGAGGTAGCGGGCGTTATGAGCGTTGATGACAGCGAGGCGGCGCGCGAAAATAGATTCCCGGTCCACCGTGACATCCGACCACATCTGAGTCACCGAAGGAAAGTCGTCGAGGTAAGCGGCAAAGGTGTAGCCATGCTCAGCGGTGAGGAGGCTCGGCGGAGCAGCCGTAGCCATGCCCACGCACACTGCAGCAAGCGCAAGCGCAAGCGCAAGCAGAGGAGTCATTGTCTTCATCGTCGTCGAGGAAAGTCGTCGTCGAGTTGAGTCTGCTGCGCTATGCCCGCGGGCAGCCGAGCCGGTGTGTCTGACGCGAGTGGCGGGAAGGTCACACGACTGGACGGGATATTGGAAGGTGAAAAAATTGTGGTGCGGCAGAGGAGGGGATGAAATATTTTAGGAGTGAGGTGTGTGTGTGTGTGGTGGGGGGGGGGGGGTCGGGGGAGGGGT